GGGGATTTGGGGAAAAGGCCCTTAGCCCGGGGGGCCGGGGGGAAAGGGGGCGGAAAACCCCTTTAAAAACCCCCCCCCCCATTCCTTTTACCGGGGCGTCACCGCCGTTACGTCATCCCGGGTGCGTGACGTAATCCTAGGAGCGCCCTCGCGCCCTCGCCTGGGGAGGCTTCCTTCGCGTCCTGCGCGCCGCGGCGCTCAGCGGTTTCTTTCCTTCCGCCGTTTCCATGGCTTCGGGCTCCTGCTCGATGCTCCTCGCGGTCCTAAGCCTGCTCCGCAACAGGGACTCCCTAGCGGAGTTCGAGGAGAAGTTGAAATCCTGGAGGGAGGAGGACGGGGAAGCCCATTCTCCTGTTATTTCCTGCACAACGAACGTCCCTGTCATAAAACTAAGACGTGAACCCCCGAGGCTGCCACCGCCGGGTAGAATTTGACAGGAACATGCGGAGGAACAGCCGGCCTCTCAGAATGATGCGCGTGTCCTCCTCGTGCACGGGTCTGGCCTGTTCAAGTGAATCTAAATGGAAGTCTGAAAGGTGTTCGGCCGGTTGTTTCCCTCGTTGGGGAATGAAATGTTTCCTTTTAGGATATTGTTCGTTTTCCAGGTTCACTCATTTGACAAATGTCGGAGATGGAGCGCTTTCCAAGTGCTAGGGCCGGCCCAAGGCACAGAATATTCTAGCCATCTGAAACATCAAAACTTTGATCATGTTTGTTTTGAAGAAAACCATTCAAAATATGTTAAATACCGTCGTGCTTTTTATAACAGAACATTCCAAGGCATTCTCTGTGCAAACTATACATGAAAACTATTAAGGAAGGAGAGAGGTAAATTCCTTTGGAGAGGCCCAGTGACAGAGCGGAATTAAGGAAACCCAGTTCATTATTAAAAATACATCTATTTTAAAGGAAAAGGGGACTACTCAGGGAGGAAAACACAACTTAAGGAAGGGAGAAATGGTCGTGACAAACATAGTGGAAGTTTACTGTGGCTCCTGATGGTGGGAGTTAATCGCTAAAGGAACCTAAAAGTCAAGACATGAGAAGCCCTGAGTGGACTCTGCACCTTTGTGCGTCCCATGAATGGGGAAGTCACCAATGACCTCACTGTATTCAGGATGAGTCAAGAGGTAGAAAGCTGTCCTACTGACCTCTGAAGCAGGAGGTCTGCATATTGACAGAGTCAACATGAGCCTGGGAGCTGACCCTCACTCCCAAGGTAAGAAGTTTGCGAGGCTGCTTGGTTAATCAGAATACCAATATCCCTCCACATTGAAATATACAAAATACGACCTATCGAATGAGCATGGTATGCTTTGTTAGTATCATTGTACTTTCTTCTCCAAGTAGGAAAGTCGCCTGGAGGAACTAAATTTAAATCAAAAGGTGGCTTGGAAAAGTAGAATAAATGAAGATGATCATAAGGGATAATGTCATCAAGCCGTAGTCTGAAGTGCCCTCTTTATTATCAGGATATACTTCTAAGCAGACTAAAATAGCACCATCAGCCAGTTTGATTTCATCTGAAACAAAACTGGCAGGTTTTTTAATTCTCTAACAGACTTATTTCATTTAAAAAAAATCAGCCTCTGAAAATATTACATCATTAAAACATTGTCTCAAAGGTTAAAAGTTCTAAGATTATTTTTTTAATTTGTTCCATTTTAAATTATAGTCTTCCTTACTAGCAACAATCTGTAAATCTTATCTTACATGGTTATTTCTTCACAGAATGGCTGATATCACCCAGTTAATATTGCTTCTTGTTAGCTTCCATTTATTCAACACTTTCTGAACTTGTCTTCAAAGTTTGGATATATTTTATTTGATTTCCCTAGGCCATTCTAATGCCCCACAGTATCCAGTTGGGAAAATATAAAGAAAGCATAAACTTTGGAGTCCAACGATCAGGATTTTAGTGTCAGCGTGCCACATTTTGGCTATTTAACCTCAAAGCAGGTAAGCTCAAATCACTGTTTTTGTTGTTTTACTCATTTATTTTTAAAATTTATCTTTATTGTTGAAAGTATTACAGATGTCCCCTTTTTTTCACTATTGACCCCTTCTAGCCTTCACCCGCCCCCAGCCCCAGGCCTTCACCACACTATTGTCTGTGTCCATGGGTTATGCATATAAGTTCTTTGGTTAATCTCCTCCCACCCACCCACCTACTCCTGCCTTCCCTCTGAGATTCGGCAGTCTGTTCCATGATTCTATGTCTCTGGATCTATTTTGTTCATCAGTTTACTTTGTTCTTTATATTCCACGTATGAGTCAGATCATGTGATACTTTCTCTGACTTATTTTGCTTAGCATTATACTCTCCAAGTGTTGTTTTAATCTATAAAATGAGAGTGGTAATAATGCCAGGCCAACCTACCTAATTATCATTTTGAGGGTAAAATATTATAGTTTTGCCCTTTATGAAATATAAAGTTACCCTCTCAATCAGAATTCAGACAAGGCTTTTCTCTGCTCCATGACGTCTGGGAGCTCATGTGGAGGGGTGAGCCTGGGGGGTGTCTCAATGGGTTGGGATGGCAATTATCTGGAGACATATTTCCTCACAGGTTTGGTGGTTGAAACTGGGGCAGTCAGCCAGAATACCTAAGCATACTCTCTTCATGTGGCTTGAGCTTCCTCATGGCCTGTTTGCCTCAGGGTAGTCAGACTTCTTGCAAGGTGGCCAAAGGGCTCCAAATGCTAGTGTTCCTGTAAGCAAGGTGAAAGCTGTAATGCATTGTATGACCTAGCCTCCAAAGTTACACAGCATCACTTCTGCTGCATTTTATTGGATACAGGTAAGTTACAAAGTCCAGCAAAAATTGAAGGAGAGAGGATTTAGATCCTATCTCTCAATGGAAGAAGTGTCAAAGAATTTACACGTATGTTTAATTTACAGACAGATCGTGTTTACAGTAATGTACTGGCTACTCTGTAGAAATGGCTGCTTATGTCACCTTCTCCAGAAGGGATTCTATATTCAAATTCTCCCTCTTTTATTACTGGAAATCACCAAGACATCCTAGTATGCTAATGAAGAAGCCCTTACCTTCTTTCATTAGCTTCTGAAACCCCACTGCATGCAGAAATAAATGCAGGTCCTTCACCATTGGACATACCCTAACTGTTTCCTCTTTGGCACTTCCACCAAAATCACAATGCTGCCACAGGCACGGTTGAGGTGCTGCAACCCTCTACACAAAGAAATGGCACTGTGTTCTTGGTGCCCAGCCAGTTTGTGTTCTGACCAGAAAGAAAGCACACCTCCCTTTGTGTTGTAGTATGTCATATGGGCACCAACACAGTATTATCTTGCATTCGAAAGTCTTAACATGCATTTTAGTCACCGTTCTTTTAGGTCTTGCTCACAATCCCCTTTACCCCAAGGCATTCATGTATTCACAGGAAGCTGGAAAACAAATCTAGGTGAGAAGCACTGTTTAGAACATTGCTCCAGCTGATGACTGAGATACTAAGAAGTCTTGCTGATATGTCTGACCCTCTCTTCCCTGGAGATGAGTTTATTTCCAATTGGCGGGCATTTCTATCTTCAATCTGCATTCTAATAGACACTGAATAGTTCTACCCGTCAGCCAGACCTACCCAGTTCCAACCACATTCAATGATGTATAGCTAATAACAGCTTAATATTTTATGTATGAATCAAGGTCATCACTTCAAATACCACATCCTGTATTATTTAATAAATGGCTACTCTCAGAAGCTATTTAGGTGTGAATAGAAAATTGAATCATGAAGTTGATTCAGCACAACCTTCCTACTGAGAGGCATAGGAATTTCCTCTGTGGAATTCCAGACTCCATCTTAATTCTTTAGTGATGGGGACTTCACTAATACTGTACATTGAAGGATAATTATTTTTTCTGAAGTTGAATTGAAATCCTCTTCTTATGATACCCATATTCTGATGTGAGTTTTGCCTTCTAGAGGAACACAGGATGAGCTTATTCTATGAAATTGCTTTCAAACATTTGAAGGAAGTTCTGTTTCCTTTAGTTCTCTCTTCAAAGCGTTTTCTCTTATTCCTGTGTACTCTTTTCAGTGTTCTTAAAATGTGGTCCCATAAATTGAACACTATTCCAGATCTGGTCCAACAGAGAATAGAATCTCTTATTGCTATAACCTAGGAACCGTGCTTTTGTTAATATAATAAAAAACCATATAAGCAACTCCACCTGATTATTGGCACATATGAAACCTATAGTTGACAAAAACCATTGTGGTTTTTAAAAATAAAATCCTGTTACACCAAGTCTAGATTTTTAGTCTTTTTAGCATTGTTGTCATCTTCTCTACTGAACTCACATTTCCCATACTTTTTAATTCTTAAAGAAAGACCTCGCTTTTAGTTTCATGAAATGTGTTAGATATATTTCTAACATTTACCAAAAGATATTTATATCAGTATGTCATTTCATTTTATAACATCTTGTTTCTACTACCCTGGGATGTGTTAAGATATAGAATTCTTTGAAATAGTCTTTGTGGATTTAGTAATTTGGGATGTTAATTTTTTTTTACGTTTGCTTATATTGCAAGGTATAGTAGACTACATACCGTATGCTACCATCTTGTATTAAACTAGGGGAAACTAGTACCTGATAAAGGATGGGTCAGAATGTGGTGGAGGATATCAGGTGGGAGGGAGACTTTTCTGAGT